TGGTTCAAAGGGAAATAAAAACAGAGTACAATCCCATGATCTTCAGTTGCTCAAATCCCAGACTACATCCAACCCAGAAGCACATTCCATCCTGGTACGACACTTAAAACCTTCTAGAGGATTGTTACGTCAAAAATTGAGTGCTCATTCTTTTAACATTCCAAGTTCCAACTAATTAGAAACTGATATTCGCAAAAGAAAGTTGAGACAGTCTCTGAAAGAACATGACCTTGCAAAGATAGCCTGTAAAAAGAGAACAAAAGCTGGTTGTCTTTTAAGGACTGTCTTTCTACTGTCCAATACAATTACCCGAACAGCTGGAAAAATGGCATCCCCAAAATGTACATATAAGCACCACCTCACTAATCTTCCCCTCCAAAGTCAAAACTCTCCAAACTAAAAGGAATGGTAGTATTTCATGGAACAGGGTCAAACTGCTCCCAGTGCTACCATCTGTACCCTCTCTTGGTTTTTATTTCGGGTGGACGGAGGGTGGAGAGAGTTAAAAAACACTAAGATTATCCCTGACTGGTATGGCTGATTGCCACTGGTGTGGTGCCAGTTGATTCCCAGTCCAGGGCACATGCCTGGGCTGTGGGTTCAGTCCCTGGATGGGTGCGTACAAGAGGCAACCAATGGATGTTTCTCTCTCACGTGAATGTTTCTCTTCCTCTCTTTCTCTCTCCCTCTCTCTAAAAATAAATAAAACCTTTTTAAATAAATAAATAAATAAATATCTAAAACATTAAGTTTAGTTCATGATGAAGTCAACTAGAAAAACCAATAAAGCAAAATACAAATGTGTTTGTATTTTTTAATATATTTTATCAATTATGCTAATACGGTTGTCCCACTCCACCCTGCACACCCCCTCCCACCCACATCGCCCCCTTTAGTTCATGTCCATGTGTCATAAGTTCTTTAGCTTCTACATTTCCCATACTATTCTTGCCCTCCCCTATCTATTTTCTACCTACCGTCTATGCTACTTATTCTCTGTACCTTTTCCCCCTCTCTCCTCCTCCCACTGCCCTGCTGATAACCCTCCATGTGATCTCCATTTCTGTGGTTCTGCTCCTGTTCTAGTTGTTTGCTTAGTTTGATTTTGTTTTAGGTGTAGTTGTTAATAACTGTGACTTTGCTATCTTTTTACTGTTCATGTTTTTTATCTTCTTTTTCTTAGATAAGTTCCTTTAACATTTCATATAATAAGGGCTTGGTGATAATGAACTCCTTTAACTTGACCTTATCTGAAAAGCATTTTATCTGCCCTTCCATTCTAAATGAAAGCTTTGCTGGATAGAGCAATCTTGGATATAGGTCCTTGCCTTTCATGATTTGGAATACTTCTTTCCAGCCCCTTCTTGCCTGTAAGGTCTCTTTTGAGAATCAGCTGACAGTCTGATGGGAACTCCTTTGTAGGGGACTGTCCCCTTATCTCTTGCTGCTTCTAGAATTCTCTCCTTCATTGTAATCTTGGGTAACGTAATTATGATGTGCTTTGGTGTGTTCCTTCTTGGGTCCAACTTCTTTGGGACTCTCTGAGCTTCCTGACTTCCTGGAAGTCTATTGCCTTTGCCAGATTGGGGAAGTTCTCCTTTATTATTTGTTCAAATAAGTTTTCCACTTGTTGCTCTTCCTCTTCCCCTTCTGGTACCCCTGTAATTCAGATGTTAGAATGTTCAAAGATGTCCTGGAGGTTCCTAAGCCTCTCATTTTTTAAAAATTCTTGTTTCTTCATTCTTTTCTGTTTGGTTGTTTCTTTCTTCTTTCTGGGCCATTCCATTGATTTGAGTATGTTTCCTTCCCATCGCTATTGGTTCCCTGTGCATTTTCCTTCATTTCACTTAGTGTGGCCTTCATTTTTCTCATCTAATTTGCAACCAAAAATCAATCAATTCTCGCATATCCTGATCACCAGTGTTTTGAACTGTGCATCTGATAGGTTGGCTATCTCTTGGTCGTTTAAAAGTATTGGCTCTGGGGCTTTGATTTGTTCTTCCAATTAAGCCATTTGGCGGGGGGGGGGGGGGGTCTGGTATCACCTGTTATGTAGTGAGGGACGGAGCCTTAGGTGTTCACCAGGGCAGGGCAACCCAGTCACTGGGTTGTGATGCTGAATGTGGGGGCAGGGTCAAAGAGGGAACAATGGCACTTGCTCCGCTCTCTCTTGGATTTCAGTCCCTTCTGCTGCTTCCCCCAAGCAAATTGGGCCCTTCTGGTGCTGGTTCTGGGGTGGGTGGACTTGTGTACCTTCTAGGACCCTGTGGGTCTCTCCAACGAACGTTCCTGCGAGGCTGGGAGTCTCTCCCAGCACCTCAACCCCCACGAGTGTTTTCAATGGGTGCTTTTAGTCTTTATTTCCCGGTGCTGGGGCCCTGGGTTGTGTGGTGTTTCACTGCCCATTTTCACCTGGTTTATCTGTGCTTAAATGTGAGACCACAGTCTGCCAGCCGCCTTGTGCACCTCATTGGGTCTGCTTGTTGCCTCCCAGCGCTCAGGGTCTGCCAGCCACAGCTTCTTCCTGCCACAACCCCTCTCTGCTGGCCACCAACTCCACCCCTCTTACCAGTCTGGATGAACAGTTGTCAGACTTCTGTACAGTTCAATTTTCTGTCAATCTGGTTGTTTTTTTTGTTTCCAAATTTTTGTTGTCCTTAATTTTGGTTGTGCAAGGAGGCACAGCCTATACACCTACGCCTCCATCCTGGCCAGAAATCGCATTTGTATTCTTAAGTTGGCTTTTAAAGAATAAAAACAAGACCAACCAAGGTACTTTGAAAATGAGATGAATCTATTCTCTTGATTTTTTTCCATAGTAATTCAAAACTAAGTAGTTGTTACAGAACAACAGCAATGGAGAGTTTTGTTTATTTGTTTGTGTGCTTTGTGTGTGTGTGTGCGTTTTTTTAAGGTAAGCTGTAAGAAAACCCTGGGAGCAGGAAAAGCCACTGCAGAGTGCTGCTGAGGGAGAGGAGGTGAAAGCACATGCGTTCGCATTCCGGGGGTCACCTCTCAAAACACTGGCCCTTTCAACAGCTGTTTTATGAGAGCATCACAAAAATCCGTTCCCTCTGAATCTCTGAACATAAGATGTCAAAACCACAGTTTCAGAATCGCTAGTGTTGGGGCCCTGGGCAGTCCACCCCAAGATATGTCACGACAGTATAGTAAGTATTTTTGAATTAAAGTTACTTAGGAAACAGCCTGTGTAAGAAGAAAACCATGACCTCTTTGTCCCCTTTTAAATCTCTCATGTGATAGGTGCCCTCCTAGTGCCAGAGGGCTGAGACAACCTTATCACAAGAGTCAAAAGAATCCAGTCAAAAGCTTGTAGAAACAAGCCTTGTAATGCCTTTACTAACTTACTACTCGAGTCCAAACTTTGCTTAGATTCTTCACTAACAAATACCCAAAGCTTGCTTAGATCCTTTCTAATAAGCACTTTGTTTGTTTTGTCAATTTGTGACAAATTTGTCTAATACGTATAAAAATGTGTCTGGTTAGATCATTTCTTTGAGCCTCATTTTATGATCAGATCATATTATCATTCTCTCATGTGCATCTATTAAATAGGTTTTTCTCCTGTTAATTGGGTCAATTTTATTATTTCATTATGAGTCCAGCCTAAAGAACTAAAGAAGGGAGGGAATTCTACCTCTCCCCAACCCCAGTCAGCCTTCCTCTCCCATTTATCTCATGAGGTAAAATAAGAGCTTTTTCATTTACGTCTAGGCTAACTCAATGTAATAGTGTCATTTAGGACCATATCGGAATCTTACTAACTTGTTTGTAACACCATTTCTGAAGTCTCAGACAAACCTAGGGTACTAAACATGCACCGTGGGAAATACAGAGCCCAATACACAAACTGTGATGAGTTTACCAATTCATTCCATTCTGAGCTTCATGTTCAAACTTGCTGTCAGCCTCTAAAATTTGTGTTTCCGAAAGTGTTTGCAGACCACTTGCATCAGAATCCCCAGAGATGTTTTATGTTCAGATTCCTAGGATTCACCCACCAAACCTACTCAATCTGTGGAATGGAGCTTAAGGCATTTTTTATTTTAATTTGATTTGAATACATATTTAAGAATCACTAAATTAAACCCACTGACTTCTTTGCTATGTTTTCCCCAGGGTTACAGGATATGTCTACATGGGATTATTTCCTAACTAACCCAATAGTTAACAAACCAGACCCTCCAGTTCCCCACCAATAACAAGCCGTTTAAGAGGAAGGAAGAAACTAGGAAAGATCAAAGACCTTGCATGATTTTAAGTGCCAAAGGGCCTCTAAACACATCCCAGAGAGAATCTTGTCGAGAAGTCTGAGGACCAAAAACACACCCCTTCCCTCTCTAACTTCTTCATCACCGTAAGAACACGCAACATCTCTGGCAATTCTCTGGCAACCATCAGCCACCATTTCCTTCGGTGACCCCAGACCCACTGCGAGTACCTTCCTTACTTCTTCAGTCTCCTCATGATTGGTGTAACAGCATTTCACGTACAGAATCAAACACGCAGAGCACACAGCACTCAGTCCACGACAGTTCCCCGGCCTGAGGCTCCTGGCACCCTACTTCTGGCCCCCCTCCATCCCTCCACCCCTAAACTAGAACTCTGAGCCACAACTGCCCATCCCCCAACTCAGAGCAACTTTCCCCACTCCTTGGGTTAACCCCCGCCCCACGCACACACACCGGGCCCCAAGCTCCCGCCCGCCCGCACACAGCCTGTCCCCGGAATCCCGCTCTGGGAGCTCCTGCCTTTGGGAGCCCCCAGGACCCCTAAATAGAGCCCTTCCCGCCCCTTAACAGATCCACCCACCCGGAGAGATGCGCTCCCAAGGCATCGGGATTCCGCTGGCGCAGGCCCTCGGGCTCGGCCCTTCTCCCATTTCCACCTCTTCCCCCGGTTGTTTTGCAGGGCACGGGTGCGGTCCACCCTCCAGCTGGCCTCTGCGGCCCTCTCTCCCAAGCGGCTGCCCTCCTTACCCGCATGCAGCCCAGTCTCGGCGACATCGCCGACAGGGGCGTGCTGGGCCCCGCCGCCGCCGCCTGTGGGGGAGGATGGACAGCTGAGGCTGTGGGAGCCCTTGATGTCTTGGAAGAACTTCTGGGTGTCGCTGAGGTTCTGCCGCAGCCGTCCCAGGTAGCGGCGGTAGCGCCCAAAGCTCCGACACAGGTCCCGGATCATTCCGCCGCCTCCCGGGCCAGGACCCGAGGGTGGCTCGCTACCCCACCGTACCCCGTCGCCCTCCATCTCCTCAGCCCTCTCTGCCTTCGGGGCTCGGGGCTCGGGGCTCGGGGCTCGGGGCTCGGTCCCGGCCCGCTGGCACTGCTTCCCTCCTCCCCACCCCCCAGCCCCCAACCCCCGCGCTTGACGAGGGAGGAACCCGCCTCCAAACTTCTCCGCCTGCAATCCGCACAGCTCTCAATTCCGTCACCGAGGTTAAAAACAGACCAGCCTACAGCGACGGAACCTTTATCTCCGCAATCCAGAACAGTGCGGGAAGGACCACTGGAACACGCCAGGGCTGCGGTGTCTCCTGGGACTTGTAGTCTGAACCCGGATACTGTGGATGGGGCTCATCCCCCTTTGGTATAAGCCTCACCGGTTATTGTGCGTACACACTCTCCTCGCTTACAAACGTGTTCCTACTCCCTGCATAAGTGGCCCTGAACAAAGAGAGGAGCTGCAGGACCCGAACGCCAGCAGAAGTAGGGTTCCTTACAGAAATCGGAGTGAAAGATTTAATAGCACAGAAAGGGAAGGAAACAAGACGGAAGCCAGTAATATCTCCATGGTTACACTAATGACTCTAAATTTCCGGATACTGGGGAACTGGCTAAAAATACCCTGGAAGTAGGGAAATCCCTTGGGTTTATATTGCATCCTCCTTTCCTGACTTTCCTTCTCCAAGCGTGGAAAAGAGGGTCGTGAGAGGGTCGTTAAAGAGCTTTAAACTGACGTTCGTTTGGTTTCTTGAAGTAGAGAGACCCAGCTGGTAAAGGGGAAGTAAGGTTTGTAGCCTTCCAACAGGTTCTGATTATCTTAACTTGGCTTCTGCTAATATAGAACACTTTTACTCATAGACTGCCAAGGAGCCCTGAACACAATTACAGAGGAGACAAAACTTGACAGCCACCCCTTTTTTGCCTCCCCTCCTCTCTCTCCTTGCACAGAGCCTTCCTGTCTTTCTCGATGTGGACAGGCCTCATATTTTCACCCCAACCGGGCTTCTCTGACAGCCTGAATAGTGGAGTTCCTCAAATGAACTTAAAGAGGAGATGAGTTTGAGCAAGAATTCCCCCAATGCCTTGCCTTGGGAGCTATGAAGTAAAGGTTTCTGTTAGTTCATCTTTAACTCCTGAGGGCTCTAAAATTTTGAGTCTTGCTTCAAAATCTTCCCTTCTTCCTCCCAATATCTCATCCCTTCAGTACAAGTGATCCTAGCTAAGTAATGTCATGATAATTGGATTAATTCAATGGAAAATGTGAAGGCTTTACCTTTTATTAGGTTGGCCAAGTAGTCCGTTACATTTTTTCCATAGGTGACTCCAGTAGTGCTTAGTTGTCTTTAGCTTCAATGTAAAACAATTTTCTTAAATTGTATTGTAACAGCTGTCATATCAGTGTGCATTTAAAAAAATATCAAAATTGGTGAATTTTTGTGCAGCCATTTTTATATTGAAGATGGAAGAAAATACTCAACATTTTCAGTATATTATGCTTTATTATTTCAAGAAAGGTAAAAACAACTGAAACATAAAAAAAGATTTATGCAATGTATGGAGAAGATACTGTGACTGATCAAACATGTCAAAAGTGGATTATAAAGTTTCTTGGTACTATTGATATTTTGGCCAAATAATTCTTTGCTGTGGGGCTATCTTATGCATTGGAAGATGTTTAGTAGCACCCACGGCCTCTACCCACTAGAAGCCAATAGCAGGAGATAGTTGACATTCTCAAAATATCCAGATCAGTAAAGTTACTGGTGAAAATGAAAAATGTGTTTTTTATTTTTATGGAAAAAACTAAACGGACATTTTGGACAACCCAACAGCATGTTATAAAAAGGGGTCACTTGGACTTCCGCCAAGATGGAGGCATAGGTGGATGTGCCGTGCCTTCTCACACAACCAAGATTAGAGAAAACTAAATATTAGCAACAGAAAACACAGCCAGAACACAGAAAATTGAACTTTTCGGAAGTCCGTTAACAACAAATTCTTCAGCCTGACCGGTAAGGGGCGAAACCAGCGGCTGGCGGAGCGGGGTTGCACAGGAGGACTCGGCCAGACACACTCAGGCCCACGGAATCCAGGCGCAGGGTCAGACCTAGTGAGCGACCCAGCGAGCAACTCGGCGAGCGGCCACGGGGGAGACAGCCGGGCCCGGGGCTGCGTGTTGACTGAGGTCGCGCATTTGTGCGAGGGTGGACAGGCGAGGGAGTGGGCGGTTGGACCCGGCCGGCAGGTCCCCACGGCAAGCGGCAGTGGAGGGCACCGCCATTTCCCTGCTCTGACCCCACCTCCACATACAGCCTTGTAACCCAGCAACTCTGAGCGGCCCGGCCCAGGTGAACCACCTAAGGCACTGCTCCTCCGCACCCAGCTGTGGGAAGCGGCAGAGGGGGTTGCCATTTCCCCGCTCAGGCCACGCCCCCACATACAGCGTCACAACCCAGCGACCTGGGAATCCAAAGCGCCGCTTCTTAAAGGGCCTGAACAGACCAAGAATGGCGCAGGAGGATCTCAGAGTCCCAGAGCCAATAAATCTAAGCGATGAAGAAATAGCAAAACTCACAGACCCACAGTTTAAAACATTGGTGATCAGGATCCTCACAGAACTGGTTGATTATACCGACAAATTAGACAAATATATGAAGGCGAAACTAATTGAAATGAATGGAATTGCACAGGACACCAATAGCAATGAAAAGGAAAGTGGGACTCAAATCAATGGAGTGGACCAGAAGAAAGCAAATAATGGCCAAACAGAAAAGAGTCAAGAAGCAAGAATTCAAAGAAATGAGGAGAGTCTTAGGAACCTCCAGGACATCTTTAAACGCTCCAACATCAGAATTATAGGGGTACCAGAAGGGGGAAAGCACAGCCACCAGTGGAAAACTTATTTGAACAAATAATAAAGGAGAATTTCCCCAATATGGCAAAGGAAATAGACTTCCAGGAAATCCAGGAAGCTCAGAGAGTACCAAAGAAGTTGGACCCAAGAAGGAACACACCAAGGCACATCGTAATTACATTAGCCAAGATTAAAATGAAGGAGAGAATCCTAGAAGCAGCAAGAGCTAAGGGGACAGTCACCTACAAAGGAGTCCCCATCAGACTGTCAGCGGATTTCTCAAAAGAGACCTTACAGGCAAGAAGGGGCTGGAAAGAGGTATTCCAAGTCATGAAATCTAAAGACCTACAACCAAGATTGTTCTATCCAGCAAAACTTTCATTTAGAATGGAAGGACAGATAAGGTGCTTCTCAGATAAGATCAAATTCAAGGAGTTCATCATTACCAAGTCCTTATTATATGAAATGTTAAAGGGACTTATCTAAGAAAAAGAAGTTAAAGAAACATGAACAGTGAAAGGACAACAAACTCACAGTTATTAAAACGAAACCTAAAACCACACCTAAAACGAAAGCAAACTAAAAGGACAGCTAGATCAGGAGTGGAAACATAGAAATGAAGATCTCAAGGAGGGTTAGCAACAGGGGAGTGGGAGGAGGAGAAGGGGGGAGAAGGTACAGAAAATAAGTAGCATAGACAGTAGATAGAAAATAGATGGGGGGGGGGCAAGAATAGTAGGGGAAATGTAGAGTCTAAAGAACTTGAGACATGTGGTCCTAAACTAAAAGGGGGGGAATGGTGGGAGAGGGGTGTGCAGGGTGGAGGGGAATAAAGGGGGAATAGAACAACTGTAACAGCATAATCAATAAAAAAATTAAAAAAAAAAAACAGAGCCTTGCACGTAGCAAGGCATCAAGAAATGTTAACTATTGTAATGCAAGACTAGTTCGAAACAGAAAAATAACTGAATAAATATAAAATAATTAATTTTAGTAATATAAGTTCTATCATTTTACTAACAATACCAGAGGCTTTTACTACAGTTCTACACAATTTTATAATAAAGGAAATAATTTGTGAAATTTAAAAAAAAAAAAAAGGGGTCACTTGTTCATGTGAATTTCTGTTTGGTAACTGCATTTGAAGGCTCCTAGTAAGGAGGGAGCCTCAAGCTCCTTCTCAGGTACTCTCTTTTACTTGCTCGCATATTCTTCACTGGCCACTCCTCTTTTTCCATTTTTGCATGGAAAATGTCCATGCAACCCATAAAAGGCTCAGTAAAACAAAAATGCAAATACAAAATGGAAAGCTCAATACAAGATGATTGATACTATTTTTAAAATGAAAATGCACTGTAATAAAGCAGTGTGAGACAACTGGCCACACATTACAATTTCTAGCAAAGGAGACCAGGTGTGAGAGCACTTGGGCTGGAATTGCCCAGAGAAGGAATAGAGAATTAATGCCTTGAAGGCTGAGGAAAATTTGGATAGGCAGAAGTAATCAGGGAGGGCACTGTGTCCAGGAAAGGTCAAGGAGTTCATCCTTTTAGAAACTATTGTTTAGTACTTTATATTTATTTTTAAAATAAATAAGACTGCAATATGAAATTCAAATGGTACAATAGGCTCTGGCAGGCTAGATAACTCATTTACAGAGTCATCCCAATATGCCAAGGTTTGATCCTCCAAATGATCCTCCAGTCAGGATACAAGAAACAACAAATAATGTATAAGTAAGTGGAACAAGAAAGCCATTTTTCGCCCTGGCTGGCACAGCTCAGTGGATTGAGCATGGGCCTGCGACCCACACGATCACGGTTTGATTCCCAGTCAGGGCATATGCCTGGGTTGCAGGCCGGTTCCCTGCAGGTCAGTTTCCAGCAGCAGATGCACGAGAGGCAACCATACATTGATGTTTCTCTCCTCCTCTCCTTCCCTTCCTCTCTCAAAGATAAATAAATAAAAGAAAAAAGAAAAAAAAAGAAAGCCATTTTTCTCTCTCCCTTTCTCAAACTAATACTTTTTCTAAATGGTGAAAATGTTCCGCCAAGATGGAGGCATAGGTGGATAAGCCGTACCTTCTCATACAACCAAGTTTAGAGACAACTAAATATTAGCAATAGAAAACATAGCCAGAACACAGAAAATTGAACTTTTCGGAAGTCTGTTAACAACAAATTCTTCAGCCTGACCAGTAAGGGGTGAAACCAGCAGCTGGTGGAGCGGGGTTGCACAGGAAAACTCGGTCAGACGGACTCAGGCGCGCGGAATCCTGGCGCAGGGTTGGACCTAGTTAGTGACCGAGTGAGCGACCAAGCGAGCAACCGGGGGAAACAGCGAGGGAGCCTGGCTGTGGGTTGACTGTTGTCGCGCATTGGTGCACAGATAGACAAGCGAGGGAGTGGGCGATTGGACC